TTCAGATTTTTGATATTCTAATTATGACATCTATAAATCGATATAGAACAAATAGCTACCTAATTATTATAGTTTAATATTGAAATATTGTAAATTTTACAAAATATGTCTTTTAATATTTAATTACGAACAATTTTATATGCTGATTGTTAAAATTGAACATGTAGATTTTAAATGGTAAGGAGTTACAATTGTGTATATTTTATTACTTTATATCACAATACTCATATTCACCTTGTTTACAAGACAAATCCTGATATACATCTCGAGGCATATTTTATTCCAAACAATTTGGTATATAGTTTGTCAAAATGGTATATGAACTTTTAAAGTTATCACAACTTTGAGTCTCTCATAGAAATACATTACTTCACTTACGTCTGTACTGTTTCTGATAATTCAATTAATCTATTATTATAACCACAAGAATGGCATAAAACCTACATTTCTCGATGTATTTAAAATGATGTCGGGTTTGATTACTCCTAAATCTGTTGGTCTCACGAATATAACAGATATTATGGCTTTACTGAAGAGAACGAAAATATTGTTAATAATAATGAAAATTGCGACCAAATATTTGGTGCCATCCCTTCTGTTTTTTGTAATGATAGCTCCGCTGGGAATTAATTTAACAAGTTTTGAATTATTAGTATTCGGTTTACCAAATATGTTGATATTTACAATATGGACATATAGTTTATATAATATTGTTTTATATCAAGGATTGTATTTTTATATCATGTGCTTTTATTTAAGAGTTAAAATTCGAGATCTTAATAAAGAAATGGTTTCTAACGGAAGTGGAAATCAATTTCTAATTAGATCTAAACTAATCAGACATACAATTAACTCATGCTATTCAATATATGATGAGATCGCTGATTATAACAATACATATTGGTCTAAGTTTTTACTAGCATTTTGGTTTAATCTAGGTTCAGTTATTATTATAGTTTTATTTATTGTTTTGTTTGCAAACAATATATTACTCACAATATCTGGCGCTTATTTTCTTATGATTATATCGACAACATTTTTATTCATTCTTTCAAACGCTTCTTCGGTTAACTCCGAAGCAAATAAATCGTATAAAATCATGAATTCATTGATGGCATCCACGGCTTTAAATAAGCATAAAGTCTTTTATGTACCGATTATTATAGCAAAATTAGAAGTAATATAAATAAATAAGTTATTTTACTAATGTATTTTTAAAGCATGATTTAAATTTTAAGTCATGCTTAAATATTAGTTGAATAGTTTTATAACATAACAATTTTTTAAATATTTTAAATGACAGATAAATGATTTCATTGAACGTATGTCTAAGAAAAAGGTGGGATTTTCGTGTTGGAAGTTATTTACTATCAATTACTTCCGATCGTATGAAGTGAGTCTTCTATTAACTAATTAATTAATTTTTTTATTTAATAATTTATATCTCTGTCCACAAACAGATCGTTACATTTCTTTTTGTACTCTTCTTGAAAATTATTGAAATGCAAAACAACAACAAGAAATCATTTTAAATATAATATACAATAAATTCTGTAATATATATTTCTATTGAAATCTGTATTGAAACCTATTATGTACTTTTAGAAAGATTGCAAAATATAATATTTTGTTTTCATTATAAATTGTTTGATTGAATTGTTTGGCTAAATGATTATTAGTTTGCATATTACAAAAATTGAATTCATATTTAATTATCTATGTAATTAATTTAATGTTTTGAATTAGAATATTAATATAAACGATTGCACAATATATTGTTTTCTGTATTACATGTTATGTGTACTTAGGTTACAATAACATCAATGTCAGTGTTTTTAAGGCAATTTTTATTACAATGAACTGAATATTTAGATAAATATAATTAATTGAAAACAATTAAGTTGTGGACGTAATGCTATGTCTCTAACAATGTGGTGAGTATTAAAGTTAATTAACCAAATAATTAACAATAGAATAATCATTATGTTTTATATCGTTATATTTTTTAAATTAATTGTTTGTAATCATAGTTTTAATAAATAAAATTTGTCAAATTTTATCTAAAGATTTTTAAATTTGTTTTTCAATTGATATGCAAAGTAATATTAATAATAATGTCAACAATTGATACAAACAAAGTATTGCCAAAGAATATGAGAATCAATTCAGCAGCGAATCAATTGCATAAAATTGGTTTATGTTTAACATCTGATCCCCAGTTGATGTCAAAGAGAAATCTCATTAATAATCCGATTGTTATCTTAATTATTAGTATAATTCAAACAACAAGAAGTATTTGTGCGATGACTATACCCGACAAATACGGCTATTCGTTCACAGTTTTGGCCGATTTTTCTCATTATCTTGACTGCAGAGTCTTATATAATGTGGCTGTCATTCAGTTCGCACTCTTGGGCTTTAGTTCACAATTAATCTATTATTATAACCACAAGAATGGCATAAAACCCACATTTCTTTGTGTGTTTAAAATAATGTCGGGTTTGGTTTCGCCCAAATCAGTCGGTCTCACAAATACCGCTGATATTAAGCATTTGATTCAGAAAACAAAACTATTGTTTTTACTGATAAAAATAGCGACCAAATATTCTGTGCCGCCCTTTATATTCCTCTTACAGTTAACTCCACTGGCAATCAATTTAACAATATTTGAATTACTCGTATTTGGTTTGCCAAATATGTTAATATTTACATTTTGGTCGTACAGTATCTATAATATTGTTTTATATCAAGGATTGTATTTTTATATCATGTGTTTATATCTGAGAATTAAAATTAGACGACTTAATAGACTAATGGTTTCTACGGGAAGAGGGAATCACTTTTTAATTAGATCCAAACTAATCATACAAACAATTAACTCATATTTTTCAGTATATGATGAGATCGACAAATATAACGACACTTTTTGGTCCAAATTTTTATTATCATTTTGGTTTAATTTGGGTTCAGTTAATATTATAGTTTTGGCTATTATTATATTTAAACATATTATAATTGTCCAAATATTCGGCGCTTATTTTCTCATCATTTTGTGGATAATATTTTCATTTATACTTTCAAACGCCTCTTCGGTTAACTTTGAAGCAAATAAATCGTATAAAACAATGAATTCATTGATGGCATCCATTGCTTTAAATAAGCATAAGATTTATTACTTACCGATTATTATAACAAAATTAAAGGTAATATCAAATAAAGGCCTCAATCTATTTAAATCTACAGTAATATTGTATACATTTATGACAGATAAATGGTTTCATTGAACGTATGTCTAAGAAAAGTGTGGGATTTTCGTGTTGGAAGTTATTTACCATTAATTACTTCCGATCGTATGAAGTGAGTCCTCTATTAATCAATCAATGAATATAAATCTAATTCATATCTCTGTCCACAAACAGATCGTTTCATTTCTTTTTGTACTCTTCTTAAAAATCATTGAAATGCAAACAAACGATACGAATTACATTTAAATCATACATTTATTATACATTTACTGTATTTAAAATTTATTTTTATTTCTTAAATAAAATTTCCAAAAACACATATTAAACATAAACTAATGACAGATAACAATAGAAATTATGAACAATAGATAACCGGATAATAACAATAATAATGACAACAATTGATTCAATTCTATAGACTCTTTGGATTTACTATTCCGATGGTGTGGTTGTCGTCTCGTCACTCGTCGCCGATGTTGTGGTTTCCGTTGTTGTCGTCGATTCTTCAGACGCGGCACCAGTTGTGGCCGCCGTTTCGTTCCCAATCTCACTGTCGTCTAACTTCTCTTCCTTATCGTCTCCGCCTTCGTCTTTGTCATCATTTTTGTCCTCCTTTTTGTCGTCCGCTTTCTTCTCCTTTTTCTCCTTCTTCTCTGAGCACTGTTTCTGCGGAACGCAATCGTCGTTCACATCCCTGAAGAAGCCTTTCTTACAAAAACAGCCCCGAATGCAGAGCCGTTTGCGCGGACACAACACCCCCTGACCCAACTCATCGCACTTTTGGCCGCAATGAGTGCCGCAATCGGTAAATACTTCGTTGGCTCCGCACTCCTTGGGTCGGGTGGTGTCGGTCGGAATGACCGGACACTTGTCGTGCGGCACACAATCTCCCACTTCGTTGCGGTGGAAGCCATCCAAACAGAAACAGCCGGAAACACACATCTTGTTCTTCGGACACAGCGTCGGGTGCGCCAAGTCTTCGCACCCCTGACCGCAACGCGAGCCGCAGTCCGAGTAGTGCTCATTCGCGCTGCACTTCACGTCACTCTTGGCGTCCTTTTGAGGCGCCGGACACTCTGTCGGCAAAAGTATTGGTCATTGAATTTACGCTATTATAAGAAATACTGTATATTTGAAATGTCATTACTGTCTTCGGAAACGCACTCTCCGTTGTGGTCACGTTTGTGATCGTTATTACAAAAACAACCGGAAACACAGGACTGTCTGCACACGTAGTTTACAATTAATAAATGTAATAATCGTTTGAGAGTAAAGAGCACTCACTTTGCGGGACACTGTTTCTTGCTGTGGAAGTCTTCGCACGACTGACCGCATCGATGGCCGCATTCATTATAGTCTTCGTTGGCGTCACAACTGGGCGGCGCCCGTTTGGGCGGCGATATGGACGGGCACTCCAGCATTGGTACGCAAACGCCCGCATCGTTTCTGATAAGACCACATGAGAGGTGTCATAAAAATTGTTTGTAAAAACTGATTGTTTACCTGAAAAAGCCCTCCACACAGAAACACCCGCTAATGCCTTGGAATTATAATTTGTTCATATATTATAATTAATTAATTAATATCTTAACAAATATATTATTTACAGATTCGTCTCTTAGAGCAAACAACCCGTCGACCCAACTCTTCGCAGGCCTGACCACAACGTGTGCCGCACTCGTTGTACTCCTCATTCTCGCCGCAATCCA